AAAAAAAAAAAAAAAAAAAAAAAAAAAAAAAAAAAAAAAAAAAAAAAAAAAAAAAAAACGCGAAACAAAACCCCTTTTTTTTTTAGTCGTACGAGGGTACACGAGCGCGCATTGAGAGGGTCACGCGCTACAAGAGACACGAGGGAGCTTATTAATGCACCGAGGGATCCTGCGACGCGTGAGCTTTCGTTTCGCACTCGGATTTATTTTCTTTTTTTTTTTTTTTTTTCCTCCTCAAGGCAAAATCGACTATTTGGAAAAGTGCGTGTCATTTTTTTTTCTTCCCATGGGTTATTGGCTCGCAGCCACCATACAGCAGAGAGAGCACTCGAGAGTGCAGATGTAGTGCAGATGTAACGCGAAGGGGACTTTAATTTTTTTTTTTTTTTTTTTTTTTTTTTTTTTTCTTCAACACAATTAGCTAATTATAGAGTTTAACTACCTACAATTGTATTTACAACAGATAATTGTTTTGTCAACACCGGGTACTACGATAAATCATTGCCCTAACAGTGGTCGGTAAGCAAAATTTGATGGTAAGGTAATATTCTACTTGGTTGCATCCACACGCGCAGTGGTGGTAAAATAAAACGTAAGATGTCAGCATCATCCACTTTTTCTGTCTGTTCATTATACAATAATAACTCTCATTTAATAATAAAATCCATTGTTACTATTATTAAAACAAACCACGATTGGCAAAATATTTCTTAATTTTAATATTTTAAAGCATTAAATTGATATTATTATAGTGTGATAGTAAAGAGCAAGTTAATGACTGTATTTTTTTCATTGCAAAATCTTTAAAAGCGATAGAAAAAGAAACGTGTAATAATTATTCTGTATGTCCTAACAGTAGGCTATCAGTCTTTCATTAAATTATTAGTCATTCTAAATTCTATTGTGAAAATTTTATATAAATTAGTTTTAACAATTCATTTCAAAGTATAAATTCACTGGAGTGGATATCGAACTCAATTATAAATACAATTATTATTAGTATTCAAAACAAATGTATTAATTGAGTTCAGTTGTACCAATGAATCAAAGGTAAGTAATATACATATAACATACCAAATATTATGTAACATACGTATGCGGCTGCCTTTCGTACAAATTTCAAATTATGATAAATCGGTATATGTAATTTTAAACATTTCACTCGATTTAATTACAGACTTTGTCTATGTATGTTTAAATGAAAAGTTTTAGATTTATATTTGAAATAACATAAAAGATCATCAAAGAGAGGTATCATTTTTAAATTAACAATTGAATTCTAACAATTTTTGTAAATGAACTTGGGTGATCTGATGAAAAACATTTTTTTCTGTAAAAACTGTGTTTTACAGTAACTGTAATACCTGAGCACTTTATGTTACTCTTGGCAAGTACTGGCACACGATTACATTATTATTATCAAATCGCAAATACCGGTAGTCCAAATATCTTGTTCAAACACATACGTTTTGACGCAAGAGTTACACCTGAATTGGTTTTGTCGCTAATTTTGTCACCAGGGCTGTATTTCGAATTTTTATCACCTTGTGATGAACGATTATAAATACGTGACCCATAATCTTTAGTTTTTTACCATACACACTTGTTATCTTTCACAAACAACTCGTACGATACTTTGCTTTCACTTCAGTGGTGTTCGATTACTTTTTCACGAATTTTCAACAATCATCAGTACTAAAAATGGTAAAAATGATGATATTAGTATAAATAATAAAAATAATTTTAATCGGCTTGAAACGAAATCATTGATCGCATAAGAACATTTTTAGCCAGTTCACGTGCAAGTTGGATTATTTACAAAAAATTATAGTATTTATAAATAGAGTGTAAATATCGTCATTCTGAGGGTCCCCGATACTTACAAAAAAATGTTTGTAAATGCACCAGCAAAAAACTGCGAGATAATGAAAACATGAATTAAAATAAGCAGACGCGACTTCTTACCAAATACGAAGAAAGTACAATAGGAGGCACGTATTATCAAAATTAGTCATGCGTTCCGATGAAAAAGACGAAATCTCTTTGTCAACGCAATCAGTGTCGCAGGAAAGATGTAATCGTGAAATACTTTCGTCGTGATTTCACATCAACATCCAATGAGAAGATGTAGCGGAGATACCCAAAACTTGACTCCTGGGGATATGTACATCCTTATCGGCGAGAAGTCGCGCACGAGCCAAAAGAGAAAGAGCGATAAGATTGACGGCAAATGTCACGAATTAATCAGATCGTCGTTGTCGAAAAGTCAAAGGGGTAGAGCGCGCCATTGCGCAATTTCATGACGAACAATGCAAGCAAAAGCTGTTCGGGAGCGATTATGTTGGCCGTATCGAGCCGTAGACGCGAAGTGGGCGAGAGATAAAAAACGGCGCCTCAACAGGTCGTGCTGCCGGTCGTTGCACCTGATCGATCGCGCCGATCGGCCGCGACACGTGTTGTAATTGCTCTTGCGTAACATTATTTTTTCGACTTCTCTCTCTCTCTCTCTCTATCTCTCTCGCCTCTTTATGATGTTTGCTTTTGTTCGAGAAGCTGAAATCCATCTCGACGATTGTGTTCCACAAAAAAAATTCTCTTTTTTTTCCTCTGTTTAATCTTTGACTCCCGAAATTTTCC